TATAATTACATTTTTATCTGAGTCAATGAGGAAATTTCAAATAAAAAAGATAGATACTATTATCATGCTGCTACTTATATATTGAGAATTTCTAAAGGAATCTTAGAAATTTAATTGAAACGTCATTAAATAAAATTTTATAAATAAATAAAACTTTGTAATAATAAATTAATAAATAAATAAATTATTAAATTATTAAATTAAATTAATAATAAATAAATTAAATAAAATTTTGTAAAATAAAAATTTTGGAATCATCTTTATTTGCATATTAAATAGAATATTGTACGAGGCCTAAATACATGAGAGAATTAATTTCTCGAACATATATTTCCCATGTGTCTACACAGCTATTTATATAAAGCAAATGTAACAGAAATTGATCGGATCAATTCGGTACATCCGGTCGAAACGTATTCGGAAACATAAAACGTGGACACATACGTATACAATCAGAAATTTTGGCTATTTGCAGATAGTCTATGCCCGCAGCGAGAGACGCGCAATACTCACAAGTGCTTTATCAATATAACATGACCATATCGTTCTACAAAAAATATTGCCGATTGTAATCACCGCCGCAGATATCGCTCGTTAAATCGACTCGCAAATAACAAGCACGACCGAATATGAAAAACAGGCGAGGAATTAATAATCGGGGTTATTAAGCGAGACTGAGAAAAAGACATTGGCTCACCGCATTAGTAAAATAGCGATTTGCTGGAAATGAGAGGAAATATTTGATCGCCAGTATATCATTCTGACGGATAAAATGTTTTAACGTGCTAATGCGTTATGCGTGTGGTAATGTATCTATTATGCAATGAAATTTAGTTCAGTTATCGCTCCCTAAATTCATTCCATGTTGTATTTGTGAAGGCAGTTATATTTTTTTATTTTTCAGTTAAATCCATTCGCTATATTTTAACTTTTGACTCATACGTTAATTAATTTGCTATTTGCGTTGCACGTTATTATTATTCCACACTGCTCGTATAATTTATATTCATCCACAAACGAATCTGTTAATAATACAGCATCGAAAACAAAAATATTCTGGTTAGGTGCAAATGAGAATTTTCAATCTGTATGATAATTCTATATCATAGAGAATTGTTCTTGTTGTATGTGTATAAATATGTAAGCGGTTTTTAAAACTAACTTTATTTCGATGACATATCCGACAGTTTACACCATACACATATTTCGCTGTATAGTTATGCATGATGTGTGAAAATGATATTTCCACGTTTAATCCAAAACGGAAAAGTGAAAATGAGACAATTGAAATGTTACCATTCGCTTGGTTCGTTTTGAAATACCGCTATGTATGGTATTGCCAATGATACACAATGTGGCTGTATACAATTGAATTTTTCAGGGGAAAAAAAATCCAGAAAAACTATTCAGTAATTTACTTAAAAATAAAAATTGGAATACAAAAAAGTTTCGCTTCTATACGTGGCATTTTATTTTTCGATCATTCCGACACATACCTCATATTTCTCAACATTTTGTAATTTATACAATTAAAATTAAAATCATTCACGAGTTAAAATGTTAACTGTACAATATTTAATTTTGTAATGCAATTTTTTATTAGTCGGAGGAAAAATAGCAGTTTTTGTAAAAGATTTCATTTAACTTTTAACACATGTTTCTAAAAAAATACATTTGAAAATTGTACGTTTTACAAATATCATTGTAATATCTCGATATTATGTAATGCGCAATTCATCGTCAATATTTGACGAGTGTTGCACATAAGAAAGTTAAATCGAGATGATCCATCACAATGTTCTTCCATAGATAGATGGACGATTCCGGCGCGACATAGATATAATAATGGTGCACAGGAAACGATGCATAACGACACGCTGTCGCGCACCTGTACAACACTACGTGACCTTATTTCGCGAAAACTAGAGGTCCAAGACTTTTATACACACGTGTCATAGCCGAACGTGATTGTGTGACATTATGTCAGTCTAACTTTTGAAGCTGTTCACGTATCTACATGTATTTCTACACACTTGTTATTATAATATCTCTAAAATTAAAACATTATTCTAAAGATTAAAAAAAATACACTTATAAGATGCAAATAAAAAAGAGACTAAATAAATGATGAAAAGATGTTAATTAAACGGATTATTATCAAAATCATTGATAAATGACGGTGCAATTTAACTCAGCTCCGAAGATGCTTCAAGTATATGCTGTAATCTTCACATTCAATAGGACGTCGTTAAAACCATATTACAATATTTACGCGGAAACTGACTACGTCGAAAAGTTTTTTGTGCATAGGCAAAATCTTGTTTACAGATGAATACACGTCCAAAGAACAAGATGCGCGGTTAATGCAACGTAGAAACTCATAGAGGCCGACACTCCAAAAGTTTCGCCGAGTGCCACGAAGGCATTTAACAACTGCTGTGAACTTTTGCTCTCAGAAGTTAAAAGTTGCGCCGGTCGACAGTTTAAACTGAGCCTTATGCGAACCGCATCATCGCCATGTGAGATGACACATTTCGGGTGTTCACTCTCGATTTCCGATGTTAACATCTGAGTTAACTTTGGTTCGAATTATTATTCTATTTCTTCGATTACTTACGCTTGTCTGCAGTTACAATATTCGATTATCTCGCGAATAAAAATATATATGTATTTTACTCCTGCGATATTCCGGCCAAGAGCTTTTCATTATAATCTTTCTATTTCGCTCAAGGCAATAATGAAAATTCGTTCTCCCGGATTCGAGATAACGAAACTCGCCAACACGATCGAGTGCATACTTATTCGGATTGCGCTTCCAATCCAAGTAATGCAAGTAGCGTATACAATACAATAGTGTAAAAACTGCGCTAAAGTCTTGGCAAACTCAGGGAAACGATGGGGATCCTTACCACAACCGGCATAAAGTGACGATGTTTCCAACCGAGCTACCGTGGAATATCGTTAATATATGCGTCAGCCTGAAGACATAATTATACGTTTGCGACGACAAAACATGAAGAGAGAAAGAAAACGCCGCTTATATGCATGCCGCGTCAAACTTGGGGGAACAGGGTCAATGGTCTGTGAATCGCTGGCAAGATAGGAGTTCGCAATAGTCGTTTCGTAACGGTTTACGTCGCCGCGTTGTGCTCCATGACACGACGGTACATCGACTTATCTGACGATCACGAGAATGGAAGCGTTTCTGAGATTGTACGAGATCGAAGCTGACGCTACTCGAACTCACGTTCTACGCGAGCGAGATATTATTTTAGAAATTAATAGGTTGGCGGCTGCGGTTACAGTTACGTGACATTGACGCAATATTACCTCCATTGAAATAAACGAGTGCGACAATAAAAATAATTGTTTTATGAGTCTCCAAGGACGTCCGCTGTTTACATGACGGTTATTCTAAATCGAAGATGACTCATGATAAGATTGGCACAAATGGAAAACAAAGTAAACTTTTATTCGCTAATGATAAATCTCGCGATTTAAAGAAAAATACTAATATGTACATTTTTATTTCTATGATTTTTACTTGTAGGTAAAATTTTAATTGTCGACGAACACATAATATTATATTAAATTGTAATCCAAGTAAAGTAGTTATTTATTAATGCATAAGCATCATTATGGAGTGCTAATGGTAATATCATATACTATCCTGATACTATCTCACACCAGCTACTACGGAATCGTCGTTTAGCGCAGTAACCGTATCTTTGCTTATCATGTTTCCAGCTATTATGGCCTTAACGCATTACCTTCCACAGGAACTGCAGGAGAAGACGCTAAGAGATGCGGTGGAGATTATCCGCAATGTACCTAAATTTCTAGAGTGCTACTTGAGAAATACCGGAGGCAAAAATATCAGAACTTTACAGAAAATAATACAAATAATAATAATAATTCAAAATACACCGTTCCCAGTGCCCCGTTATCGTAGCTCTTCAAAACGTTGCCTGGCAATATTGAAACTCGCGAAGGAATTTTCACGCTAGACAATATCTCTCTTGATTCAAGTAGATTCCTCAAAAACGCGATAAAAATAAATATTCGCGATAAAACGTTTAAAAAGCTTCCTATAACATTGCGGTAATCTTTTTTCGCGCGCATCGGAAATAATGTCGCCGATAGCAATTAAAGATAGAAACTATTTTCGCAAGGGAGGAAGAGACTGTCGTATTGTTCGTTTCACGATGCGAGTAAACGACAGGTAACCCGAAAATGTCGTACGGTAATGAAAGTAAAAAAATTACGCGATATGGTCAAGCTAATTTCTGCCACTATTTTAAAATTAAGCTACGAAGAAGATATTTATAGGCACTTTAGTAAATTAGCTTCGTGCAAAAATTCCACCGTATAGTGTAATATAAAATGCGTAGCAAATTAGACACACCCGCGGTAGACATGATGACAAGATGACGTCGACGAAGAATTTAATTATTCGAATGAGCTGTGAGCATAGGAGGATATAGAAAATTAATTACTACGAGGTAAAGAAATTACGAAGCGTATAAACTCATTGCATAAAAATATTATTTCTTGGAGCGGAAAAATTATTCCTCCAAGGTTTTAATCGTTTTAATGATCCTGTAATATGTTATAACCCAAGAAATTGAACGACTATTTTAAGGTTAAATCGTACTAAAAAGTTTACATTATCTTTGCAAATATGTCTCTTTGAATATTAATCGGCGTTTGCTATAAAAATGTAATTTTTAAAAAGTAGAATAAGAACAGAAATAATCGTGAAAGCTCTTTCTTATCTTACATTTTAGCTGCTGAACAGAAACATTTGCAAATTTGCATATAAACAAAATTAGAGCTAAATTCCCGTACTTCGATTGTTCGCTTAAAATAATTAACGCAGTTGTCATGCTTGTAAGGTAAACTTAATTTGTACTCCAATGCACAGTTGATCTTAACTTTGTAATTTCATATCGTCGACAAATCTCGTTGAATCTTGTAGATACAAATGTGTACTGACTCACCTAAAGACGCTCTCGTCGTAAGATAGCAGGATGCGAACTGGTTGACTGATGCTTCGTTTCTTTACTTCGTGTGCCGGCTCAATGTGCACGCCATGGATTACCTGAAAGCAAGGATATAATTTGATTAGAATTTACATAGAATACTAGGAATTACAATCCAACAAATGTACATAGTTTAATATATACGTAGATCGTAAAATAATGCAAAGCGTCGTTAAAATAGTGTTTGGCTCATAATTAGGTTTCTGCCATTTGCATAAATAATAGAGTAAAATGAGCATAATATTGAATATATCATTTAATATTAGATACAGAACAACATATCATATAATATTAGATACAGAATTATCTTCATAAGTCGATGCTATATATTATATACAATGAAAAACACATCGTGAAGTGTCATTATCGATTTATAGAATTAATTTCATCCAGATAATTATTTTTATAACTATCTTCATACATCGTTCATTTAATTTTCGACAAATTAATTTAAAAGCAAGCTATGCTTACACAAAAATATATCTCTTTATATGATCTTTATATCGATATATTTCAGTTTATGCAACATTTTTTTCCACTAATCATTTCTATTAAAAGGTATAAATAACTTTTTTACCATTTGCGGAATGTAAGTAGAGCTAGTTATGTTTCTGTAAAGACCCGGTATCTTGCACTTAAGAAACTCGGGGGTTTAATACGAGTAGAATGGTCATGAATGCTCACGCTAAAGTCTATTCGCGATAATTGGTCGTCGAAAGTTGAGCTCGTTACCGACAGATCTTAGTAGAAGATGCGCTAACTATGTTGAATCGCGCCTGGTATTATGATGCCAGCGGTGCGTAAACCTGATATGCTTCTCGGTGCTTCAGGTTGCGAATTCTACAACGCAGCGGCTTGCAATCTCGCGCTCGCAGGAATAGCAGTTTGCGGCAAAGGCCACAGCCGCGTTTACAGAGATTATAAGAGAGAAGAGACAGGTGCATAAACTAGATATAAGTTTTGGTTAACTTCACCGCCGAGCTTCAGTCAGAAGTTGCATGAGCGATAGATTCGCGAAACCGAACGTAGATAATTAATGGGGGGAACGTGAAGAGAATTTAAACACAATGGCATAAGAACAGCGAACTAGATTGTGCGCTACAGAATATAAGAATAAATCGATACCTTCATTTCAAAAATATAAAATAATAAATAAATAAATAAACGATAAGCTAATATGTTGTATGAATCTCAAAGAGGTTCACTGACACTTTTAATTTTATAATATAATTGACTTTTAAGAAGAAAAACAGAATTATCGGTTCGATATATCGGTTTCACTTAAATATCACTAGTTTTGGTAGAGCGAGTTTCATCGCTCTAATGAGCTTTTGCCGCAAGAAGGATTTGGCTTGCGGACAGGCCCGACACTTTGTTTAATAGAGCTTCGTGTAATCGAGGAGGGTCACTGCTCGCTGCCTCGTCGCAATGGGCAGCGTGCTTGTTAGAAATGCAATTATGCGAAGATCCACGTTAAGTTTTAATCCGATCCACTTTTATACTTGCGGAGAGTTCCTCGTCCTGCGCGGAAAGCTCCTTAGTGATAATGCGATATCTTAAGAGGATAGGAGTGGCATTAACTGCACCAGCCAAGGAACACGGAGAGGACTGCGAAGACCGGATCGAAGGTCGAAGTTAACGTGCAGTAGTGCTAGGATATCACGTATATAGAAGATAACGGTAGCTAAACCACGCGCGCACTCTCCGTCGTAATTTACAAACCACTCTAGCGAATAGTGCTCTCTTAATTATCAAACTTTAGACGGTTCCTAATTTCCATCCTTATACTCACGGTCTATCCCGCCATAATACGCGAAAGGACGCGCGTGCCAACGTACACTTCTCAACCCGACGAAAGCACCTTTAGCTGGAATTTTATCAAACTTTTCGTTGAAACGTTTAATTACATATAATGTGTATTTACTTGCTATTATTTTATTTGACGGAAAAACATAGGATATGATAGCGCACGAAAATTAATTATTAATAGAAATTAATGAAACAATTAATCCAACGATTCTAATATAACGAAAGCACCTTTAGCTGGAATTTTATAAAACTTTTCGTTGAAACGTTTAATTACATATAATGTGTATTTACTTGCTATTATTTTATTTGACGGAAAAACATAGGATATGATAGCGCACGAAAATTAATTATTAATAGAAATTAATGAAACAATTAATCGAACGATTCTAATATAACGAAAGCACCTTTAGCTGGAATTTTATAAAACTTTTTGTTGAAACATTTAATTACATATAATGTGTATTTACTTGCTATTATTTTATTTGACGGAAAAACATAGGATATGATAGCGCACGAAAATTAATTATTAATAGAAATTAATGAAACAATTAATCCAACGATTCTAATATAACGAAAGCACCTTTAGCTGGAATTTTATAAAACTTTTTGTTGAAACGTTTAATTACATATAATGTGTATTTACTTGCTATTATTTTATTTGACGGAAAAACATAGGATATGATAGCGCACGAAAATTAATTATTAATAGAAATTAATGAAACAATTAATCCAACGATTCTAATATAACGAAAGCACCTTTAGCTGGAATTTTATAAAACTTTTCGTTGAAACGTTTAATTACATATAATGTGTATTTACTTGCTATTATTTGGCGGAAAAACATAAGATATGATAGCGCACGAAAATTAATTATTAATAGAAATTAATGAAACAATTAATCGAACGATTCTAATATAACGAAAGCACCTTTAGCTGGAATTTTATAAAACTTTTTGTTGAAACGTTTAATTACATATAATGTGTATTTAATTGCTATTATTTTATTTGACGGAAAAACATAAGATATGATAGCGCACGAAAATTAATTATTAATAGAAATTAATGAAACAATTAATCGAACGATTCTAATATATAAGTATTGTGTTGTAATTGACGCTACATACAACAGTTAGCGTATTATGGCATTTAGTATATTGTTTAATTTAATTGCGATTAATGCAAGGAAAAATAGCAAGATTAAGAACAGCGATGAAAAATAAGAAATGACGATCTATAAAACACACATACATTCTTTAAAAAAATTCCATATATAGATCCACATATAATCACATCCATCGGAATTATTGACCTTAATGCAACAGCCAGAATAGCTGACACATTAGGATGATTTCCACAGAGAATCAATTTCTCTAGTCATGTCCACTAGTCGCGCAGGGATAGTAATAATGAAGTGGTACTAACAAGCTGCACGAAGCAATATCATTTAAAGTGACTACAGCTATATAATAGTTCGATAGATATCATTTTTAAAAATATTTCGAAAATATCCAGAAAATACTAACAGGAAATATCAAATTAACAAATGTTAAAAAAAGAAAAATATAATCTATACAGTAGATTATATAGTCAATATATTTTGTAGATAGATTTACGTATATAATCATGAAACCAGATAATATCGAAAACTAATTTTAAAAGTAGTTTAAAATGTACGTAATAAATTGCATTTTTATTTAAAAAGCAAATACTTGTGTTTACTTCACATTTACTATCTGAAGAATATCTATTGAGTTTCTTTTTCTGCGAATATATTGATTATAAAGACATTAAAAGAATTAATTTATTATCTGCATAATTCACTTAAAAAAAGTATTACATTTGAAAAGAGCATCTATTCTGTATACATTTATTTATTCAAATTTTCTCTAACTGACTGAAGTAGTAATATTTTATTATATTTATATAATACATATTTCAATAATATATAAAATTATCAATATTATAATTATAGCTGGAAAACACGAAACGTGTAATAAAAATATGTACTTTTCATTATTTATTTTCACTGTGTGGATAATAGATGTAGATGCATACGTGTATAAATATAATTTTGCTTTAATACATTATTTTAATTGCTGATTATAAAAGCTTACATTTTATATGAGAATAACAAATGAGATAAAATTTCCAATACACGTATATATAGCGATATTTTCTTTTTTGGATGAGAAAGTGCCTTGATACACTTCGATTTATCATATATCTACGCGTCGAAATAGGGATCGGGGGATGAAAAGATCGTGGAAACTGGGCAGGTGGGCAATTTCCGTGGTAGCCGTCTACCGTGATATACCCATCTCTTTCCGATCGCACCGCATTTACACGCGGCACGATGGAAATTTTGTGTTTCCTACATGTCTCTGCACTTTTGTAGCATTTTTATGCTTGTCCTTTTCCTCGTGCAGAGATAGAAACGTAAATAGCCTAAAATCGATTGTTCGTATTCTACCTCGAGGTTAAAATTCTGACACGCTTTGGTATCAAATGGCGAGGAATAAATTGTTGATTATTATTATTTGTGAACATCCGATCCGATTCCACATCGTATATTTTACAATGCTATTACTGTTCCATTTTGATCCATTTCCATGATGCAAATTTCATTTCGTTCATTCATTCTCGTCTAATTTTTATTTAATGCTTCAATCTTTTTAAAATCTTTCATATATAGAGGCACGATGACATATAGAGACGCTATGATGTCAATATAATACAAGAAAAATATAATCTACACAGTAGTTAATATATTTTGTAGACAGATTTACGTTTCTATATAATCGTAAAATCAGACAATACTGAAACTAATTTTAAAAGTAGTTTAAAATGCACGTAATAAATTTCATTTTTGCAAAAAAAATCAATTAAAAATTAAATTAAATTTGTATTGTACGAGAAATTTTATGCTGATATAAAAGCATAATCTATGATTTTATAAATAATATATTTAATTCTCGATGTTTTCAATAAATCTAAATTTAACTGCTTGAAAAGATCACGACCACGAATTAAGGTCGTCAATTGTGGAATTGCAAATCTATCTGGCGAATTTTCGAAACAATCTGTTTCCGAAAACTGGCGTAATGTAATGCAGTTTCTCGAAGTAGTGCGAATCGCTCGGTCGCCCATCCAACCAGCGAGGTTGGAGAATCAAGGAGATTGATCTACGGCGGAAGTTGTGCGCGTGAATTTGAGGACATTATCTGATCGCATGGAGAAAGTAATTTATGGG